AAATAGCTGAACGTTGAATGTTTTAATCTTAAAACATGATCAACAAATACTAAATCTGCACACTTAAAGGATAGTTCACCCAAAACATTCTAATTATGTCCTCTTTTTATTTATTTGTTTAGACATCTTTGTTACACTCTGCCAGTATTAATGTCAATTTCAGACACAGAAACATACTTAAAAGTATAGTACAGTAGTACCCAAATATGAAAATTTTGCAATCATTTACTCACCTTGTTCCAAACCTGTATGACGTTCTTTCTTTGTAGCCAAAAAGTATTTTGAAAAATGTGTCTGTGTGTGTGTGTGTGTGTCTTTTATATGGTAATGATATTAATTAGGGGGCGTCTACGAGGCGGATATCTGACACCAGTCAGCTGTGCACAATTTCAAGATCATTTGCGATTTATAAATGTCACATCTGGAAGAGAGGCGTACGCACGTGTTTTTGTGCGCACGTTCGTTTTCTCTGAATTGCATCTATGCACTTTTGAGAAATGTGTTTATATGCAACATTTTATAAACGAGGCCCCAGGACTGTTTGGTGAGGAGTGATTCTTGTTACCTGTCGGTTCTTTGTTCCACACTCTGCTGGTGTAACTATCATCCCATCAACACCTCTACAATACCATTATACCCATCTGTCTGGTCTTTGTTCCTACAAATGTGTTTGACATTTCCTCAGCAAGAATAACAGCTATGATCACAAGTTTCACATGCACAAACAGCACTGGAGAGTAACGATCAGGAAAGAAATGTACGCAGTACTTTAAACTTCCTGATTGGGAGCACTTCTGATGTTCCATTTACAACGGTACTTTGTTCACCTTCTTAATTTCCCTCTTTGCTTTGGATGAAGATCATACAAATATAAATAGTGAGAATCACGCGTGTGAAGCATATGCAGCCAGCCCTTCCTATCTGTCAGCACAGCGTTAGAACTGACAGTACAGATGTCTTTGTTCTTTGATTAGGAGGAATCCTAACTGTGTTTAGACATACCAGTCTCTTTTTGAAGACAATGAAACAGCAGCAAAAAAAGAGAAGTCTTTTTTGGTTTCTCATAGAGATGACAAGTTCTTCATTGAAGAGCGCTGACATCACCACATCAGAGTGACAGAATAAGAGATGAAGGGATGAATTTAAAAAATGCAGGTGAAAGAAATATGGTCCTAGTGAAATAGCTGAACGTTGAATGTTTTAATCTTAAAACATGATCAACAAATACTAAATCTGCACACTTAAAGGATAGTTCACCCAAAACATTCTAATTATGTCCTCTTTTTATTTATTTGTTTAGACATCTTTGTTACACTCTGCCAGTATTAATGTCAATTTCAGACACAGAAACATACTTAAAAGTATAGTACAGTAGTACCCAAATATGAAAATTTTGCAATCATTTACTCACCTTGTTCCAAACCTGTATGACGTTCTTTCTTTGTAGCCAAAAAGTATTTTGAAAAATGTGTCTGTGTGTGTGTGTGTGTGTGTGTGTGTGTGTGTGTGTGTGTGTGTGTGTTTCACTGTCCATACAGTGAAAGCTAAAAACCTTCTTTTAGATTCAGTAAAATAAATAAAGTCACACAGGTTTGGAACGACATTAAGGTGAGTAAATGATCGGGACATTTTCATATTTGGGTACTACTCTACTATACCTTTAAGTATGTCTCTGCATCTGAAATTGATATTAATACTGACAGAGTGTAACAAAGATGTCTAAACAAAGAAATGAGTGAAGTAAATAAATGACCACAGGTTGTGGGACCATAACCACACTAATAAATAACGCACAAACACATGTCAGCCTTTGATGTACACACTGGGTCACAGAGACGCTTCACAACACATCTATCATGATAAAAAGCCTGAAATATACAGGCCTGTCCTTCAGCTCTGGAACACTCCGAAATCACAGTTTCCAGCCCATAAGTGGAAAAGCATTGATTTTATATCTCAGGTAATGGATGACACTGACATTACATCCATGACAAAAATAAAAGTCAGAACTTCGACAAATGGCATTACCATAAACGGTCTACTGTGTGAGACACATATCCAGGATTGAATTTTTAAATATTAAACCTTTCAGAGAAACTAAACACAGTTCAAGTGACTAATGACCCAAAATAACAACTTAAATTTTTTTTGTAATTCGTTATAATTTTTAGATTCCTACAGTAATAAATTAATGCTAATTTATGGAAATCTATTTTAAACATGGGGCCAAAAATTGCACTTCATGCTAATTTGTACAATCCTCTGAAGCAAATAATAATAATAATAATAATTAAAATTATTGGAGTGGGGAGAAATCCAAAAACACTGACTATGATCATCATGTTTCTCTAGATCATAATCTAGAGAAACCGCCTGGCCAATCTATTTGAATCCCACATGTCTGTCATATCTATTTCTTCTAGAAAAAAAGTAGATATTTTATAAAAACAACATCAAAGCAAACTAAAAATGATGGTACGTGAATGTAAATGGCACCTGCTTTTGGGTGACGTTTATTTCCTGTTTTTTTCCACATGAAATTAGCAAACATGCCACCAAACATCACTGCTTATAGCAGTAAATGTCACAGACAACATTGTTTATGAGGGATTACTAAGGCAGGCATCTGGAAAGCAACAATGACCCCAATATAGACACAGATACACATCACTGGTGTATAAGCCCAGCACTGATAATGCCAATCTAGTGCGAAACGCTCATATTTACAGACGCACTGGCTGAAATCCTCATGTAATCTCTCTCGCAGGAATTTCTGGGTTACTGGACCTACAAACACATTTCACCATTCCATTCTGGCACTCCTTTTCCCCCTCATTTGGTGTCCTCAGCCCAATTCTGAGAGCCCGATGTACATTCTCCCCTCACATGGCAAATCCAGCGAGGGCTTGATGTGAAGACTCGGGCTGCAGCAGGTTCTGAAGAATATAAACAGCGTTTTTATTGTCCGGAGGGACGGGTGTGTGAAAGAGACGAGGGCCTTATCACAGCCCAGCAGCTCTGTAATTCGCCTCCGTGATACAGCACCAGAGCGGAGAACCTTACACGGCTGGCACAATCCAAAGACGGATTAGTTTTTCTGACATAAGCTTCCTGAAAAACTAATCAATCAGGCCATGCGGCATTATCAGAGGCATAAGATTAAAGCGTGGCTCCTAATCCGAGCACTGTAAATTTTTAGTAAATTCTCCACCCCTAGTTTTCCTCCAGTAAATAAATAATGAAATCAAAGCTAATTGCGCACAAAGACAGCGGGAGAGCTGGACGACCTCGCGATAGGGAATTCACTGCGAATCATTATTCCGGCTTTAAATTTGCTCTCCATAAACCATTTGAGTCTGCGTAGTCAAACGTGCCCTCTGAGTTAAGATTTCGGCTGAGGCAGAGTTTCCGACGAAATAACTGTGAGGACATTTATGTGCCATTCTTACTGACAGACATCATGTACGTGTTTCTCAGTCGCTTGTATAATGAACAAACATCTGTGTGCTGCTGGAGTCAGTTGTATGGACATTACACACCACTTTCCTCAATCACCTTCTTTCAAACAACAAAGCGGCGCTCTGTAAAAACTTGAGCAGAGATTGATAGCTGCTATGCTTATTATGCATGAACAAGAGCAAAGCACAAGGACGGGTAACAGAGGGAGTTTTAAAGAGAGCGGCGCTCTGGCAGCAAAGGCCAACTGTGCTGAACTTCAGCCATGCAGAGAACAATCATTATACAAAGATGAGGAATGAAAGGAAATGTGTCTAAACAATAGAGTCGTGGGGTTGTGCTCAAGTGGATTTAGTGCTGATCACATTGTTCTCCGTCCTGCTCTCAGAGGTTGACTGCAGCAGATGTCATGGAATGAATAGTTACTAGTGTGAAGGCTCTGACCCTCTTATCTGTCCCCAGGGAGCAGCACAGATGCTGGGCCACTTCTACAGTATTTGAATCACTGCGTGTGTATGTGTGTGTTAGAGAGAGAGAGAGACTGTAGGGACTCTAATCCATGGGGACGCTGCCTTTGGAGGAATGTACAAAAGTGGATGTACTCATAGACAGAAGCCATTCCCACAGGTACTGTTTCTCAAGAGTGCAGTGAACAGCCAAATCTTAAAAGTAACTATGTGCAAGGTTGGGCTTCATAAATACATCTAACTGAAAATTACATTTGTATGCAGTTCTGTGACGCTGGTGATTTGGAAATTTTCTGTATGAATGTAAGAGTTTTATACAAACAATAAATAAATAAAAATAAATTACTTTTCTCCAAAAATGCATATGACACACATTCTAATCAAAATCTATTTGTTAATAAGACATATGGCAAAAAAGGAATAATACACATCTTTGATTTATCTCCATAAATAGAAGATTTAATACTTATACCTTTGAGATGGTTTATAAGCTACCCGCAATATTACATTTATTTTGTTTTATCTGCTATCCATCCACACTTGTATCTTGTATCTATAAAAAATACTTCTTCCAATATTTGACCTATTTTTTTTTTCTTTCAGTAAAAAAAACAAGCATTTGAAGTGGCATGGTCCTAAATTCAACATTTCTAAAGTCATAAAGTTAATGCATTCAAAATTAAATCCTTGCTTCAATTAGTTTCCATATAGTCTATACTCAATGTGGCATTACACATAAAAAAAAAACTAAGGTATATCACCTCATAACAAATCCTTTTGGAATCATTAAAAGTATGCTGTTATGCAATATCTGAAGTTTAATCAGAATGCAGGAGAAATAAAACATTGATAAATGTGTCTTTCTGCTTTCTACCAGGAAAAGCAAATAAAAATACGTTTAAAAGACAATTGCATGATTGACTGATTCACCAGAATTATGCATAGCCTATACTATTATTTTATTTTAATTAAGTAGTTTCACTAAAATAGACAAGTGTGCTACACTAAATTTGCACGAGTTTAAACATAATTGAATGCAGTTTTCATATATGTGAAAATGGAAAGGATGGTACTCACCTTGTGCAAACAGAACAGCAGCAAAACAGCTGAAAGAATCTGCATCTTGACTACAGAAAATTGTCTTTTGACTCTTACTTGAGGTGGGAGAAGCAAATATCCAGTTCACAGGGTTTACAAGAAGGTGCCATCGCTCTCAACTACCTGAATTAGAAAATGACACGAAATTGAATGCGTTTATCAAAATTTATGCAGTTTTCATATATGTGAAAATGGAAAGGATGGTACTCACCTTGTGCAAACAGAACAGCAGCAAAACAGCTGAAAGAATCTGCATCTTGACTACAGAAAATTGTCTTTTGACTCTTACTTGAGGTGGGAGAAGCAAATATCCAGTTCACAGGGTTTACAAGGTGCCATCGCTCTCAACTACCTGAATTAGAAAATGACACGAAATTGAATGCGTTTATCAAAATTACTGCCTGAAGAGTTGAATGGCATCAGACTCCATAAAGCAAAGTGTTTGCTTACCCTTGGCAAAAGGTGTTGATCATGTTGAAAAGTGACGGTAACCAGCGGGGTTTATGACGGCACAGCTGGAGAAGGTCCCGAAGGCGTCAGTGATATTGATAAATGTGCTCGGGACAGGAAAGGCTGTTTTTGAAATAGGTTTTTATTGGAAAGTAGTGTCCGAGTGACTGTTCAATAGATCGACGGAACGCAGCGATGACTTACGAAACGCGCCGAGTCCGATCAGTGTGAATGTGTGAAGCCTCGCAGCATTTTGTGGGATTGATGCGACTCCTCGCTCACGCAGTCCGCCGTGTGTCTTCTTGTTTATGGCAGTTTGTTCTGATTAAAGTTTTATACAGCCCCAAAGTAGAGTCGACCGTTTACCAAAAGCTCAATATCTCTGTTCGTCTGTAGTTTGATTTGTGAGTGTGTATGTGTGTGCTGATGTGAATCCCTCTTTGAAGTGCTCTTCAGATTTAGCGCCTGCGAGGGACTCTCAACTGAGAGACGTCTACTGATTAACCCATTGTGGACACGTGTCTGTTTTTTCTTGTCTTTATCAAAGACAGGATAACATAATGACAGCATATCTAATATATTCGCATATCAATTAGCCGAGTTAATGTTTTTAAAGTTGTCTAAAGATTCCGAAAAGGTAGGCTATTGATTTGAGGTGATGAACAAAGTGGCTCAGGTAAGCTAGATAAAACCGTCCATACAGTAGGCTAATTATAGCAAGTTTGAAGTCTTGTTTAATAGGTTTGTTATTTAATGAATATGTCATTGAAGGCTGTATAAGCTACAGCATTAATAGCATTAGAGAAATGTAGCAGAGAAAGGATTGAGTCAGACTTGCTGATGCGTTTTACCCAAGGTGAAATATAGTCCAAAACAACAGTGAAACATTACAGCTACACCCACACATAGTAAGATTAAAGGGTTGACATTGCAAAAATTGCAAGTGTGCAATGAGACTGTGTCTGGAGTTACTATGCAGTTAAACTGTGAGCAGCAGTGCAATTTCAATGCAGTGAGCACAGTCCCACCGATCTCATGGATAAATGTGCCAATAGCGCCACCACGTGTTTAAAATTACTCTAAATTATAATCATTTTTAATTATATATCAACTATTCTTTGGGTTAATTAAAACACGTACTAATTGTAAAGAATGGGTGTTGTAGTATTTACATGCCAAAGTAGGCTATCTAACGAAAATGTACTGTGAACCTGAAATGTTTCCACATTCCTTTGTACTTAGCTTAGTAGCCTACTCAGTAGCATATTCAATCAATCAAACGCACTAAATTTAGTGCGTTCTAAATCTGTGTTCTTTAGATACATAACCAGGATAGTGAGAAAATATATTTCTCACTATCCTGGTTATGTATCTAAAGAACACAGATGATAACTGAACTTAATATCCTCATATCATAGATCCTGTTACTTTTCCATTTGTAAAGCACACATTGTTAGTATAGACTAGGCTACATCAACAAAGTGCTTCCCAAACCTGTCCTGGAGGCCCCCCTGCCCTGCACCTTTTGTATGTCTCCCTTATCTAACACACCTGATTCCACTCATCAGCTCGTTAGTAGAGACTGCAAGAACTAAATTGGGTGTCTGATTAGGGAGACATACAAAATGTGCAGGGCAGGGGGTCCTCCAGGACAGGTTTGGGAAGCACTTTTAGCCATTTCAGTTAACTACTTAACTACTAACTATTTTAGTTTTAAACAGTAAATACATTTATAAATACGCTGTCATAGCAGTACATACCAGCTGGTGGTAACTGGACTAAACAAAAACGGACCTGAACAAATGAAATATTTAAAGGTCCCATATTGTCAAAACTGAAATTTCCTTGCTCTTTCCACGATAACTGAGGTCTAGGAGCTATGTAACTACCATATACGTTTCAAAACAGTCAGTCCACAGTCAAATGCACACAGCCTGCATAAAGTAGCTGTGATTTTTCACGAACCGTTATGACTTCCGTAAAAAGTTGTTGTCAGAACTACACAGTCACCGCCTTCAGTCCCCACCCCGGGCACCGCCCACCGTCCCACTCTCCTTTTGCCAAACGCCCAGACAACATCGCGTCCATACCATTGCTGACTGAGCAACAACAACACGGAAAAATGTCGAAAAGGTTAACTTTAACCACGAAACCAGATCGGCCGACCTGTAACATTATACTCTCACTCAAAGGATGGATGATCTGACAGGACTGTTACTATGAGGTGGATCACATCTAACGTGTATAGTAAAGACAAACTCACCGTGTCTATCTAGTCATGATGAAGATGTATATGCAATTCAATTTCAGCAGGCAACTATTTTAAAGCTACATTATTGTTCCAGCCACAATTAATCACAACAATGTATATACAAATCGTCAGTTTGTTGTTTTATACACATGCACACAGACATTATTTCATACACATCATAGTCGTGAGATGCAAGAAACATAGACATATTGCAAGAAATCTGTAGACGCGCTCATAACAACAAGAGACAATACTTTATTGAACTTTTTCTAATAAGAAGTGTGCGCTGCAAACGCGAGCATTTTTGATGATCGTTTCTGTTGACGTCAGAACTACACAGTCACCGCCTTCAGTCCCCACCCCGGGCACCGCCCACCGTCCCACTCTCCTTTTGCCAAACGCCCAGACAACATCGCGTCCATACCATTGCTGACTGAGCAACAACAACACGGAAAAATGTCGAAAAGGTTAACTTTAACCACGAAACCAGATCGGCCGACCTGTAACATTATACTCTCACTCAAAGGATGGATGATCTGACAGGACTGTTACTATGAGGTGGATCACATCTAACGTGTATAGTAAAGACAAACTCACCGTGTCTATCTAGTCATGATGAAGATGTATATGCAATTCAATTTCAGCAGGCAACTATTTTAAAGCTACATTATTGTTCCAGCCACAATTAATCACAACAATGTATATACAAATCGTCAGTTTGTTGTTTTATACACATGCACACAGACATTATTTCATACACATCATAGTCGTGAGATGCAAGAAACATAGACATATTGCAAGAAATCTGTAGACGCGCTCATAACAACAAGAGACAATACTTTATTGAACTTTTTCTAATAAGAAGTGTGCGCTGCAAACGCGAGCATTTTTGATGATCGTTTCTGTCCAGTCTGCTCGTTTTATCACGTTTAACCACAGCTGTCATCGGTTTTTTGTCTGGCAGTGGCAGCAGATATGCGATCAAATTTCTAATTTGAGGCTGTATTACATCGATTCTGGCATCCAACATCACAACAAGATGATATTTTAAAGGGGTCATATGATGTTGCTAAAAAGAACATTATTTTGTGTATTTGGTGTAATGAAATGTGTTTATGCAGTTTAAGGTTCAAAAACACATTATTTTCCACATACTGTACATTATTATTTCTCCTCTATGCCCGGCCTTTCTGAAACGTGTCGATTTTTACAAAGCTCATCGGTCTGAAAAGCGAGGTGTGCTCTGATTGGCCAGCTATCCAGAGCATTGTGATTGGCCGAATACCTCAAGCGTGTGACGGAAATGTTACGTCCCTTACCATATTGTGATGATGCCCTGTCCAGCTGGAACGACGATTCAAAAACATGAAAACCCATTATAAACGAGGCATTTGTTGCATCCAGTGGGCACATAATTACTAATTATAATGACTTATACTGTCTTTCTACGCATTGCGTTGCATCACGCCGCGTAAACATAAAACCATGTCTGCATTTGTGATCTGAGAAATTACAAACAACAAGTGCTACTCTACACTGCTCAGAACTCGCATTGAATTGTCAGTGGCAAATTCTTTAAATATATATAAAAAAACGTACTTACAGTCTGTGAGTCAGAACAGCTGGCATTGTAGTATACTCTCCCAGGATCAGGAAACAGTTCTCCATAAAATGCAAATACATTTAAAATATATAACTTGAGCTCTGCATTTATCTTATTTAGTAAGAAATCCCCACTATAGTATCCTTATATAAATAAATTATGTACTTGGGCAGCTTTACACACGGTAAGAGTTGCCAGTTATCAGGAAATGGATGAATCTCAAAACTTTGTAACCTTTGTCATGTTGACTCAAAATATTAACAATACTCAGTTATAGCCTACCATATGTAGGTTTGTCAACATGCCAAATTTGGTCAGATAACCACATTGCAAACAGTTTGGACCTGTAGTGCAAGTGTGACCATGCACATTCAAGACACCGTATGTAGGCAACAAGTGACTGATATGCTTTAAAAAACTTGTCAAGCAGGTCATAGATAAATGAGTGCAGAGTGAAACTGAGTGAGAGGCTTTATGAGGCTTTGTCCTGTAGAGTTGACTGGAGTAGCCATATCAGATAAAAGTTTACCTTCTGCTTACAAGGGGTCTTTGGTTACAATTAATAGTTATACAATCGATGTAAGACTTTGGGGAAAAGGCAATATACAGTATATAATAACCATATATTTGATATTTTGTTTAGTGCATAAAGCAAACTAGCTCTAGAATGTCCGCACCCACAGTAGAGTAAACACCATCTCAGCATGATTCATCATGTCTAGTAACCCCACTGTAGAGTAAACGCCATCTCAGCATGATTCATCATGTCTAGTAACAAAACTGTGCAATTTTCTAAAAAGAATTTGGACAAAATGTTTTATTTTTTTGGTTAAAAAAGAGCAAAAATCTGGGTTACAGTGAAGCACTTACAAGGAACATGAAAGGGGCAATAAATATATAATATATAATTATATAAACATATAATTATGTAAAAGTATATAATTAAACATATAATAAAATATATCAATATATAACCATAACCATGTTAACATGGTTTTAATATGTTAGCATTTAACTTTTCTGTCAAGTTATATATAATTTTACAACTTTACACCAAAAACCCAACAACTACTATAAAATTATGATTTATACAGTTAAATAAGATAATTATTAGTGTTTTTTTTTGTTGTTGTAAAATATTAAATAAAATGTCATCAAAATTTGTGCCTTACCATTACCTCAAAAATAAGTGAGCTGAAAAATTACAAAAAGGGTTTCTGGAAAATTTTTTTTGCCAAAGTTAATCTATAAATTGGCTTTATCTTTATCAGTTCTCACCTCTTTAAATGTGTAGCTTACAGTTGAAAAGTTTCTTAAGATTATCCAGTTTTATCTTTCTCAAACGTCATATAAGTTTCGACGACCGTTTATACTAGCAACCGGTGATTTCTCCGCAGAGTGCAGACTTTTTTTCTTGGTTGCCCCTTTGTGTTTGTTGGTTTCTCTCACAACCCCGTATCATCATGGCTAATTTATTTTTGCTCTTCGTTCATGTAATAAATGGGCAACAGAGTAGCATACTGTTTGCGAACATTTCGCTGCCGTTTACATATTGTATTAGAAATTATATCTAATATTTAAATGTGCGCGCTATAGTTTCAAAAACACATAACAAAATTAACAGCGATGAGAAGTATTACAGGGGGGAAAAACAGCGTCAGTGTCGCAAAGTTCTTCAGTTTCAAGAATCAGACTTCCAGTCATTTTAATTTCATCTTCAGTTTCAAATAAAGCAACTCTTTAATGTATTTATGTTTTTACTCGTGTCTGCTTTTGACCTCGACGGACATAGAAGAAAAATTAATGAGAAGGTGGAGCCCCAGGGCATATTGCGTAATCACCATGTACCAATAGCAGTTCGAGGGTGTTTTTAAGCCAGAGTATTTTTTATTTGATTTGGCTTGAAGTATATCGGGACTTACTGAGGGTTTGGTTTTCCACGGTTGAGTGGAAGGTGGATTACACATTCTTGGCCCTGCCTTCTTTGTTAACTCTAACAACATCCTTTCGAGGTATATAAACCTGTGCAAATTCATAAGTGCTTTGCAGAACTCTCAACCAACACTACCAGCTCATAGGCTTGTATTTATTGCTGATTGTGAATGATATGGATGTTTAATGGCTGCTTCTGTATTGCTCTTGTTTCTTTTCTGTCTGGGATCAGCAGAGGCTGGGAAGTTATTGGTGATTCCAGCATTTGGCAGCCACTGGACAGGCGTGAAGCCTTTGGTGGAGGAGCTCGGCCGAAGAGGAAACCAGGTGGTGGTCGTCATCCCAGAGGAAGGTCTGAACATGGCTCCAGCAAAACATACCACCACTCTGACATATCCGGTACCCTACACAAAGGCCCAGCTACAGGAGAGTATGAATGCAGGCTTAGAGAAGTTGTTGAGTGCAGATGTATCCACAGATCTGGCCAGGTTTCAGAGTTTCATCAACACTATGGGTATGCTTAAAGTTATTGTATCCCGGAACACAGAGGGTCTGCTCTCCAACAAGGACTTGATGAAGAAACTGCAAGAGTACAACTTTGATGCAATTCTCACAGATCCATTTGAGACTGTCGGAGTTATTGCTGCTGAATATCTCTCAATTCCTGCCATTTATATGCAAACAAGCCATCCTTGTGGTGTTGATGCTCTTGCCAGTCAATGTCCAGCTCCAGCTTCTTATGTTCCACAGCCTTTAACTTATTTTACTGACCGCATGAATCTCTGGCAAAGAAGTGTGAACCTGATAAGGACTCTTCTTCAGCCCATGGCTTGTGAGCGAATGTTTGCTCGTGCAGATGAGATCGCCTCACAAGTACTTCAGAGAAAAACATCAATGGTGAAGATCATGAGCCGTGCTGCTCTCTGGTTTATGCATTTTGACTTTGTCTTTGAATTCCCACGTCCGTTGATGCCTAACATGGTCATAATTGGAGGAATGTACAGCAAGAAAACAGAACCTTTTTCACAAGTAAGTCTTTCTAATAGTTGTAATGCAATCATATAGTGCATATTTACACATTTCTTACCAAATATTTCATCAATTTAAACTATAATTTTATAACTACACTGTAAAAAATTACTGTGAATTTAACGGTAAAAGACTGTAAAATTGCTACAGTAAAAACCTATTAATTGGTTAACGGTAAGTTCCCCTACTATATATGGTGAAAAACTGTATTGGACATTACATGTAATATACAGTTTTTGGAAGTGAAAAAGAATGTATAATTTACAGTGAAAAACTTTGTGTCAGTGACATTGTGCACCTTCTATGTTAACTTACAATTTTCCTTCTCAGCTTGTGGAAAAGCTGCTTGTGATGAGCTTTGGTTCATCATGTGACTTTCCCATCACCACCTGTTTTTGGCGGTTATCAGTGTACAAAATTACTTAACAGATTTCAGTACTTCAATATGTTGGTATGTTAACATTATATCAGTTAATGAAATACTGTTCTTAAATATAAATTCAAATTTAATTTGTAAAACCTAAAATGTTGCTACCATATTTTTTCCTTACCATTTAACATACCATATACTGATATAAAAAAGCAAAGAAAAAGAAAATATATTTAATGTCAATGTGACCATTAAGAGATATCGAACTGTAAACATGCAAATATGTTGTTTCCCCCCTAAATTCAGAAGCACGGATTGCAAAATTATGTACATGATATTTGCATGGCCATTCGATATTGTGAAGATAGTCAAAGCTAAATGGTATGACACACAGTAGGATTTTTAGAAAGAAAAAATTAAAAGAGAAAAAAGTACGGATTTTTTTTATATATATTTTTTTTTATTAATTACGGAGAATCAAGAAATTATGAATGATTTACTGCCATTGTGTCAATAATACGTACTAATCATGTAATCCATAAAAAGTAAATGTAATATGAATATGAGAATTATATAATGTAATGTACTCTAATTATGAGCACTTGATTTTTGGAATCTAATTACTTAATCCAGATTAAATGTAGTCAGTTACTACCCAGCTCTGGTCATGGCAAACCTCATCATGATTTATTATAGTATTAAGTAGTAAAAATGGCTTCCATCTATATAATCACATATCCGTTTGGAAAAAAGATAGGTTTTAAGTTTGATTATAAATTGATGTATTAAAGTTCATACATTACACTCTGTTTACAATACATGCTCAAAGAGCAAACTTTTAATAAGAACAAGAAGCATTCATAAGAGATATTTAGCTGTGAAAATGTCAGAGTTGCCCAAGTATATGCCCAACTCTTTTTTTCAATTTTATTTATGCATTAATCATAACATTCCCCTTCAACTGCCACTGTCCTTCACACCATTGATAGAATGGTTGGTTTATGGTTGCTCCTGAATCTGTTCCTCTTTAGTTCAGCTAAAGCATTGCAAAAGCATTGCTTTTGTTCTGTGTCCGGGTTACTGGAGTTACATTCAGTTCAACTGTGGGCAGTGCAACATGGTCCTACAATAAATGTCAAATAGTGCCACCATGTGTCTAAACATTTTTTTTAATGATTTAGAGTGATATAATATTGTAGCCTGATAATTTAAATATCAACTGTTCTTTCAATAGTAAATAAATGAATAAACATTGTACATTGTATCTAGCCAATGTAGCGAATCAGCTCATGGGAAATATGAATAATTAACCATAACTAGTTATGATTAATTATGAATATTTTAGATCCGCTGTAGATATTTAGCTGACCTCTCAGGGTCAACTGTCTTGTCAATTCTAAGAACGTTAATTTCCTGGTTAAGGGAAATAACTTTCTTACTGTACAATTCTACAAAAGCTTGTAGCGTAAATCTGCATGATTAGTGACTCCGGTTATGAGCAAACAATGAACACGTCAAGTGTGATACAAGTAAGGTTTTATTAACTACATAAACACTTAAACTAGTCTAACATACTACATAAACACATAAACTGGTCTAACATCCTACATACACACATAAGCTGGTCTAACACACTACATAA